ATACATGCACACACACATACACTCACACGCGCACATACATGCACACACACATACACTCACACGCGCACATACATGCACACACACATACACTCACACGCGCACATACATGCACACACACATACACTCACACGCGCACATACATGCACACACACATACACTCACACACGTGCATGCAATCATATTCGCTCACAGAAATAATCAGCACCTGGGATACAGCGCAACTGAACACCTTTGGTCGGGGAGAGTGAGAGATTAAGCAAAACATTTTTGTTGTGGTGGGCGAACAAATATGAGTCCATTACTTTGCAATTTATTCCTGTTTGAATAGGCACTAATTAGGATGTAGGGTAATATGTCAATCCAGTCACATATAGTCAGTTTCATGGTGACAGTTTTGAAACATGCAACAGTGTCATTGCAAAGAAGCCTTTTGAAATACAACAGGTTCCTATTTTACAATATATATTTCTCTTGGGGGCTTCAAATCAGACAGACACAATTCTTTGGGAGACAAAAAGAAAGGTTTGGTTTTGACTTGGCATAAATATAAAATAATTTACGCCCGCGATAATTTTCCGGCAGGTTAAACAACATTTTCTATCGTAAGTATTGGGAGGGTAAACAGATACCTGTGCAGGCCTCTGACATGGCAGATGAGGGTTATGTGTCTGCAAAGCGTTTGTTTACACAGGGAGATGAAAGTCATGTTGCACAGCAGTTAAACGTGGCTGCAAATGGGAAAAAAAAAGTTTATTCTCAAAATCAAATTTCCGAAGTGCAGCGCGGGCGGAGCCTGGACAGGGTAAGACCTCCTGTTACACAGAGCTCCTGACCCCTGGTTATCGTGACAGGAAATGGCAATTGTCTGATATTTGGCCACGCGAAATAACAGACACCGGTAAATCCATTCTGTAGGTGACCCACAAACAAGCTTCCGTCACCCCCTCCTACCCCCCCACCCACCACCCCACCACCATGCTGTCGCCATGACACTCATGAGCGGGAATTACATTCACGACAGGACAGATGGTAAAATTCGTTCTCTCCCCCCCTTCTCCTCACCTCAGATGCTGGTGGGCTATCGCGGGTTTCCATATGTAAGGTAATTATGTTCGCCGGGGGACAGGATAATTACTGCCGACGCTGGTTTTGCCTCGAGATGGGTCGCGGTCGTATTCCGCACGAGAGAACGGGTGGGGATGGCGGGGTAGGTGAAGGGAGATCTGTCGGCAGCCAGTGATGACAGCCCCCGTGTTTTAATTGGCTGAGCCTTCCCACTGGATACGTTTTTAATGAAGAGCCCCATAAACTCATTCCCCTAAAACTGTGGAAGTCGGAAGCTCTACCATTGTGGCTCCTGAAAATTTGAGGAGAATCACTGAGTCAACCATAACAGGAAGATGTTTGAAAGCTGTGGGATGCCAAAGACATTTTAATGGATCAAAAGCGAGAAAGATGGAAGACTTATGGATCTGCTAATAACTGACAATGGGGACTAATTATGACACCGGAAGACTGTGTACATGGACAGTACCTAATACAGTACCTAATACAGTACCTAATAGTAATAGAAACTATTTGTAGCTCCTAAAATTCTCTGAACATCTGTTAAACTGTTAAAAAATATGCATAAAAATGTAATAAATATACAATATGGCAACATAAGCGTGCATGATGCCAGTCAAGGATGCCAGCTTGGTCCAAGAACATGATGTTGGGAATGGTTGAGTAGTTGTCTATCCTTCTGGAAGCCTCCATGGTCTGATACGGATGGGGGTATTTCAGGTCACGCTCGACACACGACAGAAAAGTCCCTCCGCCTTGGGCCTTGTTTTTCTTCAGCTACCCCATCGCAGTATGTCAGCTTGTCACTGACCAATTAATGCAACCATTTAAATTCCGCCCTAAGAGGTTTATTGCGTCGTCACACCCCCACTCTGGGGGACCGTGTCTGTAACACGCCGAGGGGTTGGAGATTTATACTCCTGAGGCAGCCTATTGTCCCCTCATATAAATTCCAGACATATTGTGTGTGTTTATGTGGGGAGGGGGGGCGGGTTAAATTGCCTCATCATATCCACTTGTCTGACATAACTAATGGTCAGCAAATACAGACTGTAAACAAGTCATCCTGGTTCCCGATGTCGAAGCTTGTTACCCTCTGTTATCGACAGCCAGCAGTCGGAGTGATGCCGCACATGATATGACCTGGCAAACACCACTACAGACCAGGCAGGGCTCAGTTTGGGCACCAGTCACCCAACTGGTACAGGGTGTGTCTCTGGAACCTTTTGCACAGTATGTAAGAAATCAACTTTTAGCAAAACTGAAGGGGATGTCATCTTGTCCAAGGGGAACTCCAGTTGTGTCCTTTGCCAGGGACAAGCTCCAGACCTTCTTATGACCCTGTGCAGGATAAGAGATTAGTTGGATAGATGGATGGATGGATGGAAAAGAGGTGTCATGTTGGCTCAATGGGTAACTCAGGATTTCCATGGATTGGAGTTTGATTTCCGCTCCTAGTGTGCAAAGCCTTCAAAACACATGTGGTTAGGTTGGACAACTCAAAATTTGTCTTCGTTTGCATATGTGTGCCCTTCAATGGACTGGCATCCCATTCCAGGTGAGCCCTTGCCTTATGCCCCATACTGCCAGATTAACACGTTGACCCAGTACTGGACAACTGGTTTGGAAGATGGATAGGAAATGAACCCTGGGAGCATACAGGAGGATAGCATCGCCCAACACGGCGGCGCCGACAGACACGGCCAGGCGGGGGCGGCCCGGGTCGGCCGCGCTGTCAGGTGTCAGCGTTAAAATGCGATGTATGCTTCCCGTGAGGCATCACGGTGGTTTCAGGTGCGCCTGAGAGACGGCGTTGGGTGCCTCGACAGCGTCACGGACTCAACCAATAATTTAAAGAGGCTGGAGCTGTCTCTTTACCTGGTGACAGCCAGATGTGTGCGGGGGGGGGGGGGAGATATATATATATATATATATATATTATGAACTTGTCAGTCAGATCAGCATAACTGGGGTAGGGGTGATGTCTAAACTACAGGACAGACACCACTGTTTAAGGCTCTCCAAACACAGAGGCTTGATTCAGTCAAACATCAGCTGGGGGCTCTCTTCAGGCCGAATGGAAGCCTTATTTATCATTTAATCCCAAGAAGAGGTTAGAAAAGGAGTGTGGGGAGCTGAGAAACGTGCTTCCAAATTTTATGGGGCCACAAAGGTCATATGTCCTTCCAGGAGCCATGGAGCTGGGAGTCTTCTCCATTGCCTGCAGCATTTAGGGCACAAGAGCAACAATTCTGGGCACGATCCACTTTTCGTAAGAGATGACATTAAAAAAAAAATCCTAGATCAGATGGCAGAAGAACCAAAACGTTCATACCCATAATCCGGTTATAAATTCTGGCAGTAATTTCTGCAGTAAGAGATTTGGAGCGTATGGCCACAGCAATAGGTGAGGGAATGATGTGGCTTTTAAATAAGAACTTGGACTGTCTATTGCAGCAATATGTTGGAATAATTAACTGGTCAGTTTGAATGATTGCTATTTAAAGAGTGGAGCAGCAGGGCAGAGCAGCAGGGCAGAGCAGCGGTAAAGATTTGGACTTACGACCCGAAGGCCAGTTGGCTTTGCTGTAGCTGCCGTAAGTGAGAAGCTTAACCTGGGCCGTTCCTGTAGGATTAGCGGCTGAGTTAAAGGTTAAAGGGAGGCGGCAGTCGCTTCGGATGAAAGCCGCGAGCGCCTCGGTTTAAAGGGAACCTCAGCGTCGTCGCTGGCAGCGGCTTATTGACTTTGATGCCAAAGCCAGGAAGATCTCGCTATCCTCTGGCCGA